ATCAAAGTTTTACATGGGTATCTTAAGGGGGGACCTATGTCGTTCTACGTCAAAGCAGCGTTATGTGACGTCACAATAGCGACGTTTGTTTTTTTCCGCAGACTTTTGCAACTGTGATTATAGGCATAACATTGTCATAAAATCAAAAACGTACACAGTTTACAAGAATTTTTTTTATCATTTATAACAGTTTTATTTGATTTATGGAGTTTGTTAATATTAGAATTCTCTTTTGGTTGATAATACAGTGGTAATGAAATATCTCCATGATATGCTGATATAAAAGCGCAAAAAAATATAAGATAAAATTCAGCAAAGAAAGCGCCTAAAATCAGGGAAATATGTTTAATTTTATGTTTACCATTAATTGTATTTCCTTGATACTAAGAAAAAAAATCAGAAATGTACTTGTACCTATATTTACTTATTGATTTATAGTATATGTAGATTTTATTGTATAAAGTCATTCCTAGGTTCTATTAGGTGTTGGTTGTTGATGGGGAAATTGTGGGGGGGGGGGGTGTGATTAGAATGAAGAAGAAAAGAGTTTATCTGTTTAAATTATTTCTAATCAAAACAAAATACTCGTTTTTTGCAAAATAGTTTTATATTCAGATGTTTGTCAGTGCTTACTTACCTTTTTTTAGTGCAGAAAGGTCAATATTTATGACAAAAGAGTACGAAAATAAAAGAAAACGTCATATTTCTCGTTTATTTTATCATAAAGGTATATTTTTTTCTTTGTTAAAATAAAGAGAGGGGTCATTTCTTTTAAAAAATATGAATTACAACATTTTCACACAAAGACTTTTCAAAATATTACCTGTTATGCATGTCAGAATTGTAAAAAATACGACAAGAAAAATGGGGTGATACTTACATTGTGCTCCTTTATAATTTTTCATGTGCAATGAATTGCAATGAATTTGCCTTCATTTTAAAGATATAAGTCATATAAATTAAATACCTGTTGATTTCGAATGTGATTTGACATTTTTGGTTCTTTTTAGCGCATATTTGGAGCAGAACAATAATGTCTGAAAATAATCTATTTTTAGCATTTCACACTGTTTTTGCGTGTGCTCCTGTGTAAAAATAAGCATATAGAGGTATTGTTTTAATACATAAAAATTAAGAGCAAGTGGTCAGGAAGGAAATGTCAAAGTTTTGAAAATTTCACACAAAGACTTATCGGATATATCTAAAAATCTTCTTCTCAAGAAGAGCAAAGCCATTCTGTCATATCCTCAGATAGCATCGATTCTAATTTGTTCAACTCCTTTTCCTCTGGGGTAGTGTGGGTCCACTATAGGCTTTTCATGAATATAAATAGGACAAGAGACCCATGAGCCACATTGTTCATCTGAATAACTTTGGCCATGCTGTTTTTTTTTTTTTTACCAGATCTCCCCCTTGTAATATCTATTGTGCCCCCCCCTACCCCCAGGGGTCATGATTTTAATATTTTGGAATCTACACTACCCCATGGTGCTTCCACATAAGTTTCAGCTTTTCTGGCCCAGTGGTTCTTGAGAAGAAGATTTTCAAAGTTTTTTCTTATATATTTCTATGTAAAACTTGGATTCCCTATTGTGGCCCCGCCATACCCCCAAGGGCCATGATTTGAACAATTTAGAATCTACACTACCTCAGGAGGCTTCCACATAAGTTTCAGCTTTTCTGGCCCAGTGGTACTTGAGAAGATTTTTTAATGACCCCACTCTATTTTTGTCTTTTTTTGATTACCTCCCCTTGGAAAGGGACTTGGCCCTTCATTTTCACAATTTAAACTCCCTTCACCCCTCCCCTTTGTACCAAGTGTAATCAAAATTGACCCAGTGGTTGTTGAGAAGAAGTTGAAAATGTGATAAGTTTACAGATGGACAGACAGAAATTTTTACACGTCTAGCAGGGCTTCTCGGGTGGTCGGGCACATGGCTATTTCAAACACTGATCCACAGGCAGTGTTAATAAATATATGTAGTCAAGTTTCTTCACATCATGATCCTCAGGTTAGGGTGGCACAACAATGGTTGATGAAAATTTTACATGAAACAGCAAAGTCATGATTAGTCATATTAACTAGAGGTACTGTGAGCGATGAGCTCACTAAATGATACCCCCCACCTCCCATATGAATAAAATGGCAGTGTCCATGCTTTGCTCTGGAAAATCCAAAATATATGTCAGATCAAAAAGTAAAATAGGAGGTGCACAATGGCAATATGTAATAAAGATTCTGTGAAAGTTTCATCAAATTTCATTCAGTGGTATGAGAGGAGTTGCGGATAAGAGATGGGTACCCCAAAGCGTAACAGACGGACGGACAGACGTGCAGACGGACGGAATTAACGATTATTATATACCCTCCTGCTTTTCAAGCGGGGGGTATAATGAAGAAACATTCTTCTATAGTTAGAATTCAGCTTGGTTCAAATCATGATCCCTCAGGGATAGTGTGGGAATACAAAGGGGGATCAAGTTTAACAAGGGAATATATAGAAAAAAAGAATTTGCTGATGAAGAACAAAACGGCCACACATGTAGAACATACTCAGGTGAGCATTGAGGCCCATAGGACTCTTGTGTATTGTAATACACTTGCCAAGGTGATTGTATCAATGCCCCAGGTTGAAAATTTTTGGTAAGAGTTTTTATTAAGCACTTCTGTGCTCTATATTGTTCAGATGAGTACATGAATGTTTCATTGTACCAGACAAACTTTAGATGGTGCATTTTCAGCCAAGAATTACCATTTTTGGATCAGGTTCATTTATGTAGCAGCAAGAAAATATTAGCCCTATATCTGCCAATTTTTTTAGGATTGATACATTTAAGAATTCACACTAACAAACTTGCTTCTAGTGCTGGATCTGACCTATATTTTCTAGATGAGTGACCAGGATAGTTTGGGGGGTATATAGGAATCACCTTGTCCGTCTGTCTGTCCATCCATCTGTCTCTGTCCGTCTGCCTTTGCAAACATGTCCGGTCCATATCTTTCTTACGGAGGAACATTAGAATCTACTACTCCACACAAAGATTGCCTATGACCCAAGGGTGTGTCATGACCTTGACCTAAGGTCATTTGGGGAAGTTCAAGGTCATGGTAGAAAAATTTCATAATTCGTGTCCAGTCCATATCTTTCTGATAAATAAGCTTGGTAGGTTCTCATTTAACACAAAGATTGCCCATGAGCCAAGGGTGTGTCTTGACCTTGATTCAAGGTCATTTGGAGAAGTTCAAGATCACTGGAAGAAAAATTTCATAATTCATGTCCGGTCCATATCTTTCTTATGGATAAACTTGGTAGGTTCTCATTCACATAAAGATTGCCCATGACCTAAGGGTTTATCATGACCTTGACCCAAGGTCATTTGGGGAAGTTCAAGGTCACTGGAAGAAAAATTTCATAATTTGTGTCCGGTCCATATCTTTCTTATGGATAAACTTGGTAGGTTCTCATTCACACAAAGATTTCCCATGACCTAAGGGTGTGTCATGTCCTTGACCCAAGGTCATTTGCAGAAGTTCAAGGTCACTGGAAGAAAAATTTCATAATTTGTGTCCGGTCCATATCTTTCCTATGGATAAACTTGGTAGGTTCTCATTTCACACAAAGATTGCCCATGACTTATTGGTGTGTTATGACATTGACCCAAGGTCATCTGTGCAAGATCAAGGTCACTAAAAGAAAATTGTATGATGCATGTTTGATGCATATCTCTATTATGGAAAAACTTACCTCTGAAAAACCCAGCGGGGGGTAGTTTGTCCTGTTTGGACAGTTCTAGTTGGAATAGGATTTTTGGCACAAAAGTTGGAACATTAATGCCCTGCAAACAAATACATGTAGGTTTTTTTCAATAAAAGAACTTTATTCGGTAATAACCGATATTTGCCCCCCAAACCAAACTTTGATGGAGAAATATTTTTAATTATGTTCTTAAATAGGGGGGTATATGCTGACTTCAACGCACTGAATATTTTCATAAGTAATGACGTCATATGTACGAAATGACGTCACAAACATGACGTAAATTTCAGTTTTTTATGAATCCTACAGAAAAATATACATATTTCGTCGATAATTTGAGTAAAAGTAACCGAGCGCATGTGTGTTCAGGCTCAATATTTTGATATAATGTGTAGACTGATAATATCAATGAAATATGTAAATATTGTTCCTGAACAAACTTGCGCTCTATAAATTTTAAAGCAAAAATTGTTGAAATTTTGTCCATTTTGTCCTATTTCTGAAAAAGGATATAAAATCGGACTAGTTTGTGACGTCATAAAAACAAAAATTGTGAATAAACTAATTTGAAACAATAATATGTTCTCTTAATTATATTTTTCATACAATTTATTGAATTCAGCACATTTCAGGAAGTTTTCAAAATTTGACTTTTGTGCGGGGCAAATATATGCAATATACCGCATATAGTTCTTTACATTACCGATTGAGAAAATACATGTACATGTACTTTTATTTTTTTTAGATCTTGACTTGTCTTTTTCTTAGAAAAAAGAATAGTATAGAATACTTTTGAAATACTGACATAATGTTGGAATCCTCTTGTAAAAAAATGATGCTTTCTTCATGATCAAGGACAAATGTCCCTTTTAGCAGATTAGTATAGAAAGGGTGTTAAGTAAATTGTCTCACTTTTGCAAGTTTGTCTCAATTTTTTGCATTCAGTGATAGAAAACAGAAACCTCCTTCTATTATTTGCTGAGGTAAGCTGTCCTTTTGACAGTTGAAAATTTGATCATTGGTTGAAGAGTATTTGACTTACACTCCCTTACTGAAATAATGCAAATGAATTTTACTGAAAGAGACACATTTTAGCGATTTTCTATAAAGCTAACTATGGTAAAATGTAATGTAAGCAAGCAACAACAATAAAGTCTTCAGACAAAAATAAAATGAAAAGTGTGTGGGCCTTGGAAATCCTGTGGCAAACATTGTATTAAAAAATAATGATTTCTTTTGAAGCTTTGCTGCAGAAGAAAGAGCTTGACCTTCAAGAGCATATGATGTCTGCATTAAACATACGAGAACAGCTGAGCCTGGTGCAAGATGAATTCTGTGAGTTTTTCATTTGTCAATGTGTGCATTATTTTTTAGATTACCTTGATACAGTTAAGATGAGCTTTTGCTACACCCAAGTGTTGGCGCTGCATGGTTTTGGCATCAGCTTAATTTAAGAAGCACGTCCATTCCCAACTACATGTAATTTTTTTTTAAAACATATTATGCCACAGGTCAAAGAGAAAAATGTAAAGACAATTTGATTGAGTCCATGAGAGCAAAGCAATATAGAACAGACCAACAATTACGCCAAATCAGAGAGGTAAATATGCCAATTTGTTACATTAGGTAATGTGTTGTGGATCCAGTAAATATCCCTAGACTATGTAACACTGGAAAATACCAAGTACTTTGCATTTATGGTTATTAAATCAAGGCTAAATTGTTTTGAATTGTGACCTTTTTTAAAAAATCTCTTGTGATTTTTTTTTCGTTATAAAATTCAAGTCTGAAGGTAACATGAGACAGCTTGAGATACAAACGCTGTCAGGTATCTAGTATTTTTTTGACTAAAACTCTGATCTGTTTTACTATTTGCGTATTTGAAAGACTTCTGATAAAAAAATGACATTAAAGACTTTTTGGGCAGATAAATGCATTTGTTAACACGATTCATGTCGAAAGACGAATAAAAATGAAGGCTAATGATTCAGTTTTGATCTCGGTTTTACATCACATGTCACTTAAAAAAGCCTCAGGTTGCAAGAGCCTTCTGTAATCATTTAAAAAAGAGCAGAATTTCCTATCATAAAACCTGGTTTTGTTGTACGGAAATAACATTACATGAATATATTGGAACAGTTTGTATGCAAAACATTTATTAATCTCTAATTTTGAGGGGAGAAAAATCAGAAGATTGTGAAATCATGTTTGAATTTCATGATAAAATCTTTGCAAGTAATGGTTTTCACAATGTACTAGGTAGCATTTTAAGTTCACTGAGAGCGGTCTATGCTGTCCTTTCAGTTATATGACAGACAACAGAGAGAGGTGGGGCTGCTACAGCTGAACTTAGACACGACAAGAGAAACCGTCAACAAGCAACAAAGCAGTCTAGAAGAGTACAGGTACAAAGTACACGCTGTACTGCCAGGCATTAGACAGCTTGTGACTCAAGGAAAATGATTCATTTTTAAATAGATTTTGGCTGTAGTAAATATTTGTGAAAGAAAATTCAACTTTGACAAAAACAATCGGAAATTAATATACCGTATATACTCGCCTATAAGTTGATTTTTTTGGAGTTAAAGTTTGATCCAAAACTGATCTATATCCGACTTATAGGGGAATCATAAAAAGATCAGTATTTTTCTGGACAATGAAATGTATTTTATAACCATTCTGAGGATAATCTTTAAACAAAGTCTCTATGTTATTGTAGCAGCATTATTTATGCACTCTTAAGATTACTGCAGTATACCGAAAATACATGTATTTACATAATTATTCAACATTTTGATTTTTGTCTTAACTTTACATTTATACTTATTTGTTTAATGATTTATCAGTGTATCAGTGTCAATTCTAAAAATCCTAATTAAAACCAGGTTAAAAAATTGGAACATGGATTTGAAATTGTCAACTTATTCTGGCAAAAAGTTGTACCGACTTATAAGCAGGTCACTGGCAAATTCTACCAAAATAAGCTTAAAAAGTACAACTGACTTATAGGCGGACCGACTTATAGGCGAGCATATATGATACTTTGACATACACATTAGCTTTTACAAATTTTTATTTTTGAAGCAACTCAATGAAGAACTGCAGTAACTGTAGTAAACTATCACCAGACTCCAGAATATCTCCAGAGAAAGACATTTCTGAATTTTCTGAAACTTCAAAGAGATCATCTTCCTCCAAAAACAGTTATAGTGCACAAGGCATGACTGACAGTGACAGGCAGACATCTTTGACAACAGACGTTTATTCTAACAGTGTGAGAGAGAGGACCAAGGGGGATGGAGTTAGCTTTGTAAACAGAAGCACAGAGTGGAAATCTCAGAAGTGTAGTTATGGTGACTGGCCAGAGGAAGATGACAAGGGAGCTAACCTGATTGACTTTTCCTTGGATTTGAGGCAAGAGGAAATTGATAAAAACCCCAAACCTCTGTCTCCAGTTGTGTGGAAGACTTCATTCTCAGTTCAGCAAAATATATCAGCAGCAAAATCGATACAGAAATCCTCAGTGTTAAATTCATTGGATTCAGATCTGTTAAATCGTTCTATTTCACCCGTACCTCATGCTCACCATTCACAGTCTCATAGTTCAAAACCAGACAGACTCTCTCAATCTACACAAGACAACAATTACAGAAGTATAGAGACTGTACAGGGGACTAGTACATCTTCCCCCAATAGGAGGGATGCTAATCAGAGTTTTCAAGATAATGTTTCTTCTGGCTCTCAGCCTAAAGGAGGTGCTATAACATCAGTTAATGAACCCAAAACAACCTTTGAGGATCAGCTGTCTGTGTTCTTAGATGATGAAAGTGATAAAGATCCTCTTGTAACTAGGGAGAATGTCTTAGGGGAGGTAAGCCAACTTCCCCTGCTTTTGAAACAAATATATGATATAAACCAAATAAAATTACAGACAATTTGGTGAAGTCATTCAAAAGGAAATTTCTATTGATTCACTAATATTTCCATTTCTAATTTTTTCCTCTGTGATAACTCTTTGAAAGTTAATGGGGTTAATTTCTTGATAATTCTACCGGAAAGTAAATTAGGCGGGTCGATAGGTCATGATCTAAAGAGGCATAATATGCATGCAAATCTTGTGCGCATCTGTCTCTGTGTGTTACGCTAAGAAGGCTAAATATGCATGCAAATCTCATGCGGCTGCCTTTGTGTTTGACATCAGTGGGCAAGGACTATTGAAATTGGCATGGGAGTCCTCGTGTAATTTAAATCAATGTCTACATTTTTAAAGCCTAAATCTACAATTTTATTTCACAATGAAATGGAAATATAAGGAATCACTGTCAAGTTAGTGTAGTATGCCAGGGACATCAACGATAATGGGAAACATGGGATAATTTATGCATAATGGGCTTCGCCCCTTATGCAAATTATCCCATGTTTTCCACTATCGTTGATGCCCTGGCATACTATACTAACTAGACAGTGATTCCTCAATAAAGCCAGCTTAGACAGAGATAACTTCATAGTTTCTTTCTTTTGTTTTTGAATGTTAATTCAGTCTTATCTAAATTTAAAAAGGAAGTTTTTTTACATTTATGTTACTTACAGGAGAATTCACCACTATCGATGTTAAACAGAATGTTAATCAATACAAAGAAAATGGCAGAGAATTAAGTTTCATCTTAAAGCCCTTCCAGCTAGGAACATAAAGCAGGTAAGAAATCTTTTGTTTTCTGGTACATGGCTACTTGCAATATTTACAAAATGTCAAGCAAAGACTTGTGCAGGATCAAACATTACGGTTTTGTAGCTGATATATCTCTCAAAACGTATATCTTTAATGGAAGATATCAAAAATATTTCAATCCAAATAATATACTGCATTGGAAAGTAATTTTATGATTGACAAGCCTTTCTCATCATGATGTTTATTGTTATGTACATCTGGTGGCCTGGGGCTGATGTTTAATTTTTTTGTTTTCAGGATTATAGGAGAGGGAGGAAACAAGAGCTGATCTGAACGTCCAGGATGTTAACTCGTGGAAATAACAAACATGACTCTGTAGCTGCTGCACGAGATTTACATCAGTTTTAACCATCAAAGGAATAACTGTTATGAAATTGATCTTTTATTGCTTGCAGTAATACAATTTTAATGATCCATATACTATTTTAATGAGAAAAAATAACCTTTTTAATTGAAGAGTACTTTCTCTATTTACCATAATTCTTCCTGTTAAACAGCAACTTATGTTTTCACATGGTAGAACACAATGCATTTTAAAAGTGTATTTTTATTTTTTCCCCTCTCTCCCACAGTAAATGCACCTATGCATTTTTTTTAATTTCCAATGCACCTGCAGAGTGTGGTTAAGGAGTTTCCCTTTATTATTTATAGCTCAATAATATTAAATGTTATGTAGATTACACTAGCTACAGCCAGTATTATTTATCCTTATGGAGTTTGATATACTGTGTAGTATATACCAGGTATATAGCACTATAGAATATTAGGCAACCAGTACCCTCTGTTGTTTTAGGTATTTATTTATTCTGTACATGTTTACCATTGTATATATGTATAATGTTTAGACCACTTTTTAAAAAAGTTGTCTAGTCTGCACTTTCTATTAAATAGGATTTTGAAAACAAATAAATTTTAACTTTTTTAAGTATGTGTGTATGAGATAAAAAAGTTTATTTTAATAAGTGTCCACCATGTGTAATATTGAAACTGCAGATTTTTTTAAGCAACACTTCCTGGGTTTAAACTGACTAAATTAAGTCTCACAATATTTATTGTAAAAATGTTATAGCTTTACATCCCTTTCCTCACAACTTGGTTATGATGATTAGATAAAGATGCCATGTCTTTCAGAAAAAAAGAGTTTTACTTCAAAAAATGTGACCACTCTGGTGTATTATTTTGTCACATTGTTATATTTATCAATGAAATAACAAATTAAAATTGAATTGTATTTCTTTGTATTTCTTGGGGTTACAGTACTGTGGCCCGTTTTACAAAAGAGCTTACGACTAAGACCAAAAACTTCATGTAAATTTTTGCAAAATTTCTAATTCTCTTTAAAATTGGTCGTGTAAAAATTTCTTTCCACTTTCCTTTTAAAAAGTTTAAAGTAATTTTTGATACAATGTTAATTAAAAAGTTATATGAAGAATTAGATTTGGTGTTAAGTCGTAAGTCCTTTTGTAAAACGGGCCCCTGGTCCTTTAAGCTAGTACGTGATACCTCCACTTTATGACATTTTTTTTCTGTTTTAATGCCCTGTTCACATGGAGAGTTTAATTCGAATTAAACGTAAAGTTACTGCGAATTAGCTTCGCTTAGCGTTCACACGGAGAATTTAATGCGAATTAGTCTAATTCTAATTAGTTTACTGCGCATTAAATTACTTCGCATTAGCTCCGTGTGAACGCTAAGCGAAGCTAATTCGAATTAAATTCTGACGCATGCGTAATGGCAAAATTTAGTCAAATACCACTTGTCGGTGGTCAGCCATAGGTACTTGTGCTATTTTTGAGTGAAAAACTAAGGGAAATTTTGTTAATCATTAAAATGTGTGTACAGACACTTTGACACTATGTCAATGGATCTGCTTCTGCAGAAGGTGACGTGATTTGCAAATGACGTCATAATAGCCGTGCTGATGCCGGGCTGCAGAAGTAAAGTTTTAATTCGAATTAGTTTACTTCACATTAGCTTCGTGTGAACGCAATTTAATTCGCATTAGTTTGATTCGCATTAGTTTACTTCGCATTAATTTACTGCGAATTAAACTCTCCGTGTGAACAGGGCATAAGTATTGTTTTGATTTGCAAGAGTGCTTATATACCTTACTTGTACAGCAAAATAACTTCATCACCTGCTTACAGGGTTTATTTCTCTCAGTTGATATGATACCAAGAGCATGGTCTACAATTTTTAAAACGAGGGTAATTTTTGACAAACAAGTTGCTGAAACAAGAATATTAACAGTCTCGTTTAAAGTCATCAATTCATAAGTTCTATGGTCGACACAATGTCCTTGTCAGCAAATACAGTTTATCATTAAGTCAATTGCTGATTGCCTGATGTTAATCATACTAATCGTTAGACCAGTATATACTCACTGATTTATCGACGGATTTTCTGCTATTTTCCAATCATGACAAGGAGCATACGGCGGGTGTGACCGGTCGGCAGGGGATGTCCACTCCTCCATGACACCTGATGCAACCTGTTTTGGATGTCAATGTTTGCTCTGCTTCTAAAGAACTATATGCGGTATATTGCATATGTTTGCCCCCACAAAAGTCAAATTTTGAAAACTTCCTGAAATGTGCTGAATTCAATAAATTGTACGAGAAATATTAGTTAACAGAAAATATTATAGTTCCAGAGCAGTGTATTCACAATTTCTGTTTTTATGACGTCACAAACTAGTCCGATTTTATATCCTTTTTCAGAAAGAGGACAAAATGGACAAAATTTCAACAATTTAAGCTTTAAAATTTATAGAGCGCATGTGTGTTCAGGAACAATATTGACATATTTCATTGATATTATCATTCTACACATTATATCAAAATATTTATCCTGAACACACATGCGCTCGGTGACTTTTATTTAAAATATCGACGAAATATGTACATTTTTCTGCAAAATTCATAAAAAACTGAAATTTACGTCATATTTGTGACGTCAGTACGTACATATGACGTCATTACTTATGAAATTATTCAGTGCTTTGAAGTTAGCATATACTCCCCTGTTTAAGGACTTAATTAAATATTACTCCATCAAAGTTTGATTTTGGGGGGCAAATGTTGGTTAATACCGCATATAGTTCTTTGTATTGTTTAATGGTTTTTTGAGTTTGAATACTGTTCGTTATCTCCATATATCTCATTCAGAGAAGAAAAAATTATTGCAAATAAAAGCAATAAAAAAATATTTCTTTCACTGAAGAGGCCTAAACGGGATTCCGTAGGTTATAACTTAAAACAAGTGTTTAAGTACCTATTTTTAGTTATTTGTTAACTTACAAAAAATTGGAAAATTACATTTTTTTTCAAAATAAAAAAGAGAAAAAAATATCCCATTCTAATAATTAAAGTCGGCAATGTGTTCAACAAACAGTTTTTTAAGTTATTAAGTTTGATCTTTAAATGGGCAAGGTTTAAATTTTTGCAGACAAAATACACCTAAACGGAATGACAAGGTAAAAAATAAACCAAAAAATTCGATTACGGGGGCATAAAAAAAGTTAAATATTCAAGACTTTTTTTTTTAATTCTTAATGTCTATTTGTGTATATTAAAAGGGAGAATCTTATCCGCCATCAGAACTTACATAATCTTTTTTTTTATTCAAAGGCGTCGGAACCGGGGGGGGGGGGGGGGGGGGGGGGGGCCGGGGGAGGGGGGCCTGAAAACTACCTCTTTTTTTTTTTTTTTTTTTTTTTTTTTTTTTTTTACAAAGATAGACATAATCAAGGCAATGAACATTGGTAGGCCTTTCAACTGCTGCTTGGGTAGCAATAACAGGCAATTTTTAAAATAATTTTGAAACCACACTTATTTTACATCAAAAGAAAGGTCAGTTTACAAGGATTTCAATGGTGTAAAGGTTATTCAGATTGGTCAATGTACAAAAAAGATATAAGTATTTGAAATTCAGTAGCATTTCGTGTTTTCTGCCAATTTTTCGGTTGTAAAAAAAAATAATAATAACACTTGAAGAAATGTAAATTGATATTCATTTTAAACAATTTTAAATAATGACAGCATTTACTGCTGATTTTACTTTGAGAATCAAATGCAAAATCTATTAAACTTTTGTTTTCAAGCCCCTGATTCCAGATCATTTTTCATTTTATAAGTATAAATTGTAGGATCTTCGGAATTATACTTAATGTTATACCAAATAGGGAAACCAGGCACTTAGTAAGATAGAACATGAGTACTTTTAATGAAGTACACATCAGCAAAGAATATTATTTAGATTTTGTTTACATACTCATGGATTTTAAATTATTATATCTTTAAATATGTTGTTATAAAAATGTATTATTAAATATTGCAAAATAATATTGTTAGAATATTTTTATTTCTTTTTTGTTGAAACAATTTGATTAAAATATAAATATAATATTTAAACAACACTTCAAAAGTATTAGCATTCATTGTTTTTATTTTGAGCAATTCAAATTTTAAAATAATGCTAATCTAGCTGTACGATATACTGGTACATGTGTATAAATCTGATAAAAAAAAAATTCCTGAAAAAGAAATTCCAAGTATGAACTCGAGGTCCTCTTAATCTGTTCAATCACTTGATATTCTGTTATAAAAATTGTTTAAAAGAAATATATGAATTTAAAAAAATGAAAACATATAGATCTATTATAATAATTATAATTATCCATACATTACACCAATTATTGCAAATGGTATCCTAAAGTTGCAGAATGCAGTGATACTAATCAAAGTTCATAGATCTGATTAATTAAAATCATGCATTTTATTTACTTTATTATCTGTTTTTAACATTGTAAGAATATAACAGCTTGAGATTGACATTGATCAACAAATATACAACTTAGAAATAATGCCTCCTCAAAATCTCCGATGTTGCGCGGGAATTTCAGTTATCTGCCCCTGTTAAAAATGTCGACGTTTTTGTCAAGCATAACTGGTTAAAGCTCATTGCGCACCTATGCGCAACGATTTATTTTAAGAAACTATATACCAAATGAAAGAAAAATGATTTCTCCTTCTGTTTATTGCTGTCAAAGTATTGTCAAAACGGCAAATTAACGAAAGAAACGAAGTTGAACACGATATGTCATCTACTTTCGCTTTAAATTTCTATTTATGGGACTTGATCTACGTACCCAAGATGTTTTTAGAAATCTCTATCTTTCAGCCTTCGTAAAACATTCATATGACTGTCTAATATCACGTGCTTAAGCATTATAATGCCTATTTATAACATCAGGGTTTTCTCACATAATGGCCGCCATTACGTCTTTGTTATCTATATAACCGTGCGAGTATCTCGTGTTATGCATTTTTTTACGCACTTTTGTCAGGAATCGATGTATGTATTATCCAAAATGGTCTTTTAACTTTTAATCTGAATCAAGAAATTAAAGTATGCACAGAAATTTAAGCTGTTAATTCACTTATAAACATGACCTATTTAGCATGGAGCAGAATAGGAAAGTGCCATAACTCGCGCATGCCTGTCATTGCTAGCTTGGGTTCGTTGTTATGAACGATAACTCACTGTTGAAACTTGTTTAGAGCAGGCCCGAGGTATCTAACTTTTTACACGCAAGTCAGTTTTTAGCATTTCCCAAGTGTTTCTTTGCTGTCAGTAGAATGCAGAATTTAGCACCAATGTTAAACTTATTTACTGTATAGTTGCGGACACCGTTTAACTACATATAATTAAAATTTTTAATTAAAATAAAAAGTGAAATCTACCCTCCTTCTTAGTTCTAACCTGATTTAATTTTTATTCTTGGTCGTATGGTTAAAAAAAAAATTGTAACGAAAAAAATTGAACCCCCCATCACACACACACGAGGATTTTTGCGTTTGAATAATTTAATATTTTCTTTTTTTTCTTTGCGTGTCAGTTTTTGAGGTTTAATTCTTTTTTTCTCTTTCAATAACCCCCGCCCCCTTTTATTTTGCTTCTGACGCTAATGCGAATACTTAAAAAATGTGTCCTCTACTATCAAAAAAATAAAATAAAAAAATAATAAAATAAAAATTCTAATTTTGACTAGTGACGAATATAAAAATTTCATTGTGTAGGAACAGTTATAATAATGTATTTTTCCCCTTGTTTTGTACTATTTTCAGTGCGCTTGATTCCCATGGTTTGAAACTGATCACACCAGCCAATGAATTCATCTCTTTAAGGGCTTTCAGTTGCATTTGAAGAGTAGATCAAACACTGTGTTTTTAATCGGGTCTTTTCTGACTATCACCCCCTTTTTTTTTCCAAAGAAGGACTGAGAAGAATAAAATAAAAAGTAAAAAGCTTATCTGAAGTATTAGAGACAACCCTTCCCTTTATTGCTCTCTGTAATTTTTGACATTGCAGTTTCATTGTGAGACCAAACAAACTAATTAATTAAGCCGGTTAGTTTTACTTTTCAAAAATAAAATTTTTACTTTGGCTAGGTGCGCAAAGTGGCACGATTTGAAGCATTATGACGTCATTTCCGCCGATTTATGACGTTTACCTTTTGTTATGAAAAAATGTATGCTATTTTCTTGTGCATGATCGGTCCTATAGGACATGGATCAAATGCTCATGAAAAATGAAACGGCATTTTCTCCTTCAGGCATTGATGTTCTTCATCATCATTAAAGAACTTCCGTGTTCCACGCCTCGCAACCAGTGTAAGTAGACCTAAGATTTTTTATGACAAGTCGAGTTATCAGTTTTTTTTTAGGTCACCTGAGTCACTCAGGTGACCTATTGCTATCTGTTTTCGTCCGTCGTCGTACGTCGTTCGTCGTCAATCGGTCGTAAACTTTTGAACATTTTCAGCTTCTTCTCTGCAACCACTGAACCAATTTCAACCAAATTTGGCACAAAGCATCTATGGGTGAAGGGGAACAAAAATTGTGAATTTCATGATCCCTGCCCCCCTGGGGCCTGGGGTGGGGTGGGTGGGGCCAAAACCATTTAAATTAATGAAATCTTTAAAAAAAATCTTCTTCTTTACTCCTGGACATCAAACAGTCAAACTATTTGCATGATTGTAATCAGCATTGAGTCCTCTACCAAAATTGTGAAATTCATGGCCCTGGGGTCAGGGGTTCTTGTGCTAGGGCGGGGCAAAATAAGTATATAGTGAAAATGCATTATTTCTTTGAAAATCTTCTTCTCTGCTCCTGGGTATTAAATAAACTAACTAAGTACATAGTTATGATGAGCAAGAGTGCCTCTACCAAAATTGTGAATTTTATGGCCCCAGGGTCAGGGGTTCTGGTGTTAGGGCGGGGTTCTTTTGATTATATAGTGAAAATACACGAATTCTTTGAAAATCTTCTTCTCTGCTCCAAAGTATTAAATAAACTAACTAAGTACATAGTTATGATGAACAAGAATGCCTCTACCAAAATTGTGAATTTATGGCCCCAGGGTCATGGGTTCTGGTGTTAGGGCGGGGCTCTATTGATTATATAGTGAAAAAACATTAAATCTTTGAATATTTTCTTCTCTGCTCCTGGGTATTAAGCATATGAACTACCTATATAGTTATGAGCAAGGGCCCTAATCTTCCAGAATTGTGAATTTCAAGGCCCCAGGGTCAGTTACAGTACCGGGGGGGGGGGGGGGGTGTACTTATATACTGAAAAATAATGAATTGTTTGAAATCTGCTCCTTGGTATTAATCAAATACTTTTGAAAAGCAAGGATGCCTTTTCAAAAATTGTGCAATGTGTGGATCTAGGCCTAAGAGTCAAGGGTTCATGTGTGGTAGCGGCACTACTGATTATTGCTGAATATTACTGATTTGTTGAAATGCATTTTTGTTCCCCTACCCTGCCTATGGGTATTAAGTAACCAAACTAAGAAACTGCTAAGTGAATAGTTATGATGATCAAAATTGTAAATGCTATAGCATCTGGCTTAAAACATGGATCAAATTCAATCACTGGAAAGTTGTTGCATAATGCTCAGGTGACCTATAAGGCCCATGGGCCTCTTGTTTTCAAAACTTCTCAATTTTACAAGCAAGTGCTCGTGCAATTTTAGTAAAACCACATAAAAATACATGTAAGCATGAATTTCGTATTGGCATTTGTTTTATAATTGTCAAAAATATATTTATTAAGTTTACAGCAATATCATTATGGGCTGTATGTTAAAAATTTGCACACCTTATTTGACGACAGTCTTACTGTTTAACAAAAGACGACCGTTTGATTCTTACTTAAGGGGGAGCAGAAATTTTGGAAATGAATAAAATTTTGCTCAGAATGTGGGAAATAAATGATCTGTCCTCAACTTACAATACAAATTAAATAAATACCACCCTCTTCGATCCTCCTCAAACGAAACTGAGCTTAGACTAGAGTCTCTTCACAGTGAAGAAGAAAATAATCTGTCCTCAATCATTTTAATGAAATAAATGATGTAATGATGTACTTCACCGATCAGACTGACTCCCAAAAAATTGCAAGCCCCCCCTTCAAAATCGTCGATCTCTCAGAGTAAGATCCTAGGACTAAGACAGGCAGGTAGCAACGGGGCAGGGGGGGGGGGCTGCCCACCCCCCACTTTTTTCCCCAACATTACCTTTACTATTGAAAATGTTCATTGAAGGGATGGTTGCCCCTCCCCCGCCCCCCCCCCCCCCACTTCTTACCACAGTAAAGTGATATCAAGGAAAAATTTAATGTAGTAATGTATATACATGCAGAAAAATTGGCAGTGAAAGAAAGTTGGTATTGAAAAGTTGGCCACTCAATGTTGAATAACCCCTAATTATAAATTTCTCGTAAAATCATAAATGAGCGGTATATGTTTTCAGCTCACCTCGACGATGAGCTTATGCTTTACCCCCGGCGTTGGCGTCGGCGTCCCGGATAAAGTTTTAGGAGCAAGTCCATTCCAAAGGAACTATAAGCCCTACCTGAACCAAACTTGCATGGATGATGCATGTAGGGATGGACACTACCGGACTTGCTTCGGATGCTGGATCTGACCTACATTTTCCAGATGAGTGACCAGGTTAAAGTTTTTGGAGCAGGTCCATTCCAAAGGAACTATAAGCCCTACCTGGACCTGCATCTATGGATGGAAACTACCATTCGGATGCTGGATCTCACCTAGATTTTCCAGATGAGTGACCAGGTTCAAGATTTTGGAGCAGGTCCATTTCCAAGGAATTATAAGCCCTACCCAGACCAAACTTGCATGGAGGATGCATCAAGGGATGGACATTACCAGACTTGCTTCGGATGCTGGATCTGACCAACATCAAGTTCCAGATGAGTGACGAGGTTGAAGATTTTTTTGAGCAGGTCCATTCCGAATGAACTATAAGCCCTACAAGAACCAAACTTAAATGGATGATGCATCTAGGGATGGATACTACAAGATTTGCTTCGGATACTGCACCTGATCACATTTTCATTCCCAAGTAATTATTAAGTCCTACTTGAACCAAACTTGCATGGATGATGCATCTAAGGATGGATACTACCAGACTTGCTTCGGATGCTGGATCTGACCTACATTTCCATTCCCAAGTAACTATAACTTAAGCCCTACCTGAACCAAACTTGCATGGATGATGCATCTAAGGATGGACACTACCAGACTTGCTTCGGATGCTGGATCTGACCGGCCTATATTTCACAAACAAGAGACCAGATTAAAGTTTTTGGAATAGATCAATCCAATGAACTTGAAGTCCTAGACATAAGCAGTATGAACAAAGTTATGAATATTTGTTTTCACTACATGTATACATGTTTTTCACGCTAGACACATATAAATGTGTTTTTGCCATGTAAGGGGTTAAACAGAACTTGCAAGAATATTGTTGTCGGGATAAGTACTAACTATTAAGAAATATGATGTGAGATTTGCATTACTTACACTAATAACATTCGTCGAGGTGAGCTTCGTAATCTTTGATTTTCTATATTTTTCCTTTCCAGTTAATTCGCAATTTGTCGTTTTAGGTCCGTACAAGCTAATCAATGGATGCACCACCGTGACTGTGGTCAAGCCTGGTTGTAGATATAACTATGTGTACCCACAGAAGACATATACAGCGGCTATCAACATCAAATCGTGTGTTCAAAGAAATCTGCTCCGGATATATTGGACTGTTCGGAACAATGGCAAAAGGTTTTTCCTATTTCAGTGCAGGTATAGTCATGAAACCAATTAATCAAATGTAAATGATGAAGATTTATAAATAACGGCAGTTATCTGACTATTCGATCTAATAAATATATGAATAATACAAATAGTTAAAGAGGGCATATATCACGGACCCCTAGACATTCTAGAGGTGGGATCTGGTGCCTAGTTGGAGTAAACATCCCCTGCTTACCATGAGCCCGATGCATTGATCAAGTCGTATATTAATTTAATAATTCCAGATGTAGAGAGAACTTTCATGTTACATGTTAAAATCATCTGTTTTTCAACCATCATATTTTTGGATCATGTGTTATGAAAGTGATCATTCAGTACTGATTAGTGATACGATATACTTGTCTATACTAATGTACTTTAAAAAATGGTTTTATTTCCTTATAATCTCTGTTTTATATTTGACGACTGAGAGTTTTTATAATCGTACGTATCTATGTTTAGGCAGAGATTGAAGTGTTCTCTTCAGGACAATAAGATCAACGGAAGTTTCTTCGTGATGGAAGCTCAATTATTTATTTTGAACACTGCTGGGACGAAGAAACTGCAATCAATTTTGGTGCCGATTTCGTTTTCTAAAATGTCACTCACAACTGTAAAAGGTAATCAATAAACCTCTTAGACATTGCTTGGATTGGTTAAAGACTGCAAGTTATATAAGTTGTATGAATTAATTGTCATTAATAATTATTTACCGAAGAGAATTATTATTGATGAAATACATTAGCCCTTGATGTATCATGCTATGTGCTCTTTGGGTAGTATCATTTTGAAAAGGTGCTTTTGGAGACAAAAAGAAACAGCGACTTTATAAATATTTTTAGCAAACCATTGATTCGGTAAACCCTAACGTAAGGAAGCTATGCTTTCCCCCCAAAAAGTCAAATTACGGTATATAGAGTCGTTATAACTTATAGCGACTTTAGAAAATCGAGACACATGTAAGCAGTCGTTATTGCAAGATAAAAAGACGAGTTAACTGAAGAAATTCGTAAAAACGAGATAAAAGTCGTTATTATGAATTTAACAAGTCAAGAAAGTAAGATTAAAAGTCGATATTACGAGACAAAAAGTCCTTAAATAACGATTTAGAAAGTTGTAATAAACAGATAAAAAGTCATTATTATGACTTAAAATACATGTAGTTGTTTAGGACCACATTCGACTTTCATGCGTGTAATGTCTATTTATCTCGTTAATACGACTTTCTGATTGAAGTCATAAACTTAAATTAACGATTTCATTTTATCTCATAATTACAACTACTGGTATATAATATCATATTATGTTGTAATTAATGACTTGTTATTTCGTAATAACGAATTTTTATCTGAATCTTACGACTTTTTATCTCGCAGTCACTTTTTTTTAAAATCTCATTTAGTCGTACTGCCGATTTTTATTTTCTCGTTTTAACGACTTTATAAAGTTATAATAACGACTCGTTATAACAACTTTATTTAATCGTAACAACGCATTTTATTTAAGAAATAAATAACAAGTTTATAAACTTCAATGGATATATTGATAATGTATTTTTAACTGTCACGTGAACAAATTTTCCTGTGAAGGCCGAAGGCCTTCTCAGAAGATTTGATCACGTACCAACCCACTTCAATTTTATTTCAGTTATGAAGTTTATAAACTTGTTATTTTATTACTTATATATACATTTGAGATGGACAATTAAATATTAAATTAAATATACTCGGATATAAATATTGCACTACCGGTCGCCGTAGATTTCCGTCAAAAGTACGCAAGGTGTAAATCGGCTTGAAAGGCGGTTACGCTCCGAATTCATCAGGCTAGGAATTCTATTTCGAAGGGAATATTTTGTTAAAGGCTACTTGTGATCAGTAATAGGGAATAGATTTTTGTCTGGGAATACTTTTATTGGTGAAAATTGATCATTAATGCTGAAAAGACACAGGAAACACGTCCGAGAATTGATGATAACAAGTTGGAGGAATTTCGGTCGCCTGAAAGGGATGGATGGATCCGATGGATTGAGACACTTGTCCGAGCCAGTTAATTTGCAATCAAGTATTAAATTTGATCAAAAACATTTAATCTACGATTTCAGTAACTAAAGGCATATTTATGATGTTAACACGGAGACACTGGAGACAGTTTACATTGAACTTGAAGTACGACAGCGCCGATCGAGGTGTTTCTCAGCTGTTCGTGGCGTGATTGCAATGCTTTGATATTTTCCATTAGATTTACCTATTTATCGTGAGTAGAATTTTATGAAAAAATATAGTTTTAGCTTTTATCATGAAGATTTAACTTAAGGTCTAACAAAAATAAGGATAAACTAAAAAGTTAGAGACTGTGCAGTTGACAAAAGTGACATACAACGTGTAAACAAAGGCTAGATTTTATCGGTATATTCTCTATGTTCACAGGTTAAATCGATCGCCAAAAATGTATGAAGTATTTGTTCACGTTGTGAATAAAACAATTATCTCACTTGCTTATTTTGTTCATCTTTATACATGAAAAGCAAGTCATTTTTAGCCGGGCTTATTGCTCAAAGAGCAATTGCCGGCTTATGTCATCCTGTTCAAGACAGGATGTCAACCCCATAGTCGCCATTTTAAAGTTACGTGTAAAAATATAGTTCTTACTCTCAACCGCTTCTGAGATAATACAAACGCTAAATACAGCAACATAAATAAAACGAAGTTTTATCTAAATAAATAAACATTAGTAGTATTGACTTTGAAAACTTCAGTCGTAAGTCAAAGAACATAGATTATTAGCGTAAGGGTTTCTGATAATCAGTGTTATCGTAGTTCTCTACACTACACTACGAGGAAAAACAGGAGAGGGAACCAGACTGGCCTGTTTGTTTACATTCAGCCGTAGTACCAGATTAATTTTGATTCTGACAAAATCGGACTGTGGTACCGGGGGTATTTGGATCGAAAACTCCCTGTCAGTGTCTTATAATTTATATTGCTAGTTTTAAAATAATTTTTTCATCAGAATTTTTAATCTGATATTCTTGTTATTTAACTGTTAATACAATATAAACGTATGATTCATGTAAGAAATTCCTTTACTCTGTAAATGAGCCCGGCTCTCTGTACTTCTGAGTACTTTGATTTTAATAAGTTTATATTTATAAGTAACGGTAGATATTAATGCGCCGTGTGATTCGGTCATGTATTGACCTTTGACCTCCGACAAACTTCATACGGAATTGAAGATATTTTCTCTCTGTATGATTATATAGTGGAAAGATACCACAAATGTATATATTTCGTAATAAACGATTATTCATCTCGTTATAACGACTTTTCCCATTGATTTTACGACTTTTTAGTTGTTGTTTTTTTCATTTTCTTAATATGATCACAGCACATGAGTTCGCGTACCTATCAATTTTACCGAAATTGTCAGTAAATTAAAAAAAAAACCTTATACCTATTTATTATAGGTATTACGTATTTTTTTAATTTACTGAAAAATCGGTAGAATTAAATTGATAGGGTACGCGAACTCCTGTGTTATAGACACAAAGATGTATGTTTGATTTATACCGATATTTCTTGAATCGTTTTCGCTTTATTTTAAACATTTTTTTCAAACTGTACCACTGAAAATTCTACGCTTGCAGCACAATTTCAATTTTTTTTCTTATAAAATTTTATAACATCTAGCAAATGAAAAGCACCGTACGCATTTTAAAATTTCTCAATGTTGGGATACTAGTATTTTTAAAGTTATTTCCACCCTTACAATTTTAATGGTTAAAAGTACAAAAATTGAATTTATTTTCATTCAATAAAGTTTGAATTTACCAATTATTTCCAAAAATGTATAAGTCGCCATATTATTTAAGATGGGAGACGTAAATAATCAGAAGCATATGTCAAGATGAAAAATCGTACATTTTTTTGTAAACAGCACATGTATCATAAATATTTCCTTAAAACTGAGTCAAATGCATAATTATGATGCTGAAAGTTCCTAAATACTTGCTTTGAATTGTGAATATCAAGGAAACTATTTTACATTAGAAGTACGATAAAGAAAATGCCTGAATGAAGCTACGTGTGCAGGAGTTATTCCCCTTGTCAACATTTTTAAAAGATTGAATGATTTATTAAGTAAAGGAAATATGCATTTTTTAAATTCTTTTACTTAACAATATTTATCATTACATCTATGGAAAACCATTCTTTCAAAATATATTGTGCTATTGGGTATGAATTTAATTTAATAACAGCTTTTGCAAAAACCTATGACATCACAGGAGGGTGGAATTACCTTAACTTGATTAATTATTTTTCAAACAGATCTTGTCAATCGTAAGCTAATGAAAGTTACAGACGCATTGAGAATGTTTGAGTACATGTTGCCTACCCTAAACAGTAAATCGAGCAACAGCGTTGTCGTCAGAAACGAGTTAATATCCAGAATCCGAATCTATCTCCAAAATCAGTCTGTTGACAGCACGACTCGGAATACAAAGCCAGGAGCATGGATACCCATTGGAAGGCCGAATAACTCATCAAACGTCTCCGTTCTCGTGGTTCCTTCAGCAGCTCAAACACCCGGTGATGCTATCAGTAACGGCATCAAGGCGCTGCTTACTAAAGAGAACTTTACAGAGGCACACTTGGCAAAGCTAACACAAATCGTCCGTTTGATGGCAGCAAGCATCATGGGTCAAGTAGAGTCTAATCCTAGCTATAACAAAGAAAAGATCAATTCTCAGATCCAGAACAGGACCATTCAAATCTGGGAGCTTCTCAAGAAAATGAATAAAACAGCGCACAAAACCCATCCCAAAATGTTTACGGAAGGTAAAAACTCCAAACCAATTAAATAAATTGTACAACTGCAATATTTAAAAGAAGCAAAGCAGGACAATTTTGATATAATTTCAGTTTCCTATACATCTTATGTTGATATCTTTCTCAATTGGTCACAGCTCATTGGTCGGAGTGGGGAAACTGGAGCCCCTGTTCCAAGAATTGTAAGGGGAAGACATTCAGCACGCGTAGTAGAACATGTTTTGTAAATGAAGATACATATAAACCGTGCAAAGGTCATAGTTCAGAGGTGAAGAAATGCCCATGTCTCGAGGAAGTGCTTCTTCCTAAACCAAAACCAACTGGACCAAGTGTCATACATGGTTAGTATCTTATTTACAATGTCATTTTTGTGGAGAGAAACTTTGGCAATTCAATTTTTTTCATAATGAAAATTCAAAAAAAAGCAACACCAGTTTCTGGAATGATAAAACATAATTAGATTTTAAAAAGATCTCATTTCTAAGATTTCTGTTATAACTCTATAAGTTCCTTTTCAGGACAGTGGACACCCTGGGGAAGCTGGTCCCAGTGTTCAGTAACGTGTGGTCTTGGTAATGAACAGAGCTACAGAAAATGTCACTCAAACCGGCGAGAGTTCACGCACGGGAAAACAATTATAAAGTGTAAAGGAAGTCGCAAAAAGACCCGTGCCTGTATTATGGCGGCATGTGGTTTGTATTTGTATAGTTTTAACTATTTTTTAGAGTTATTTTGGGTTTGAATCATATTCATGTCAGTTGAAATAATTATTTATATCAGTTCAAAATAATTTTTATTAGTATACCAGTATCACTTTTGCATAATCATAATTGTGTAAACGCAAACGAAGTTTGTCGATAAGGTGATAAGGTGCCATTGAAAAGTGAGCATCCTCTGCCACCCGCGTGTGCTCCTTGTCATGATTGAGAAAAACGGAAGAAGCCGTAGACAATTCAGTGTGCAAAGCATGGCTAACAGTAAGCATGAAAAACGTCAGTCAGCTACTGATAGATTGTATTCGCTGACAAGGTCATTGTGTGGACCATAAAATTTGCGGAAAAATTAACGTGATTCAGAATTTGTTACAGAATAGAGGTATATCCATAAAAAGACACATTCAAAAGTGTTATAGTCGCCCGCGTGGCGCAGTGGTTAGCGTCAGCTCTAGAGTCGCTTCAGTAAGAACTCGATCCTTACGTCGAGAGTTCGAATTCTACTGTGGGACGTGCAGACTGCTTCGGATGAGACTACATAAACCGAGGTCCCGTGTCGCAGTAGTGCTGGCAAGAAAAAGATCCCTCACTGTTCAATGCCCCCAAGTGCCGAGTATAGGCCAAAAAGTGTAGCTCTCCATCGGCAAGTTGTGGCCTCTCCATATGAGGGAAAAATTTCGACAGATTGTTGGAAGACTTGTTCTCCAAAAACAAAACAATAAAGCGTCAATCATTTATACAAACATTTTTATACCCCGCCATGATTATAGCTTGGTCATTTATAGTTTGTCACGTCTGTCTTGACAGAAACTCAACGTCTTGTTAACATGAATTTCAGAGTACTTTTTTGTACAATCAGATTGACAGAATGTTTTAAGTAAAATAATTTTACTAATGATCAATAACGAAGGTAATTTACGAGTTCCATTTTTTATACTGAAAAGCAGTTGTAAATGATGTCAAATAGCCGAGACTTTAATTTATGGGGGAATAATGGTATGAAGTGTTGAAAAATTGTACGTTTTGAAGTTACTGACTTAGGTAAAATTTTGTGATTTCAAATGTTCAAAACCCTTGGATTTTGTGTGCCTCCATACTGATTTTAACCCCTTCTCTCATATACTATTGTATATATACTCCCGACGTTTCTCCTTTACTGCTGTTTATATACAGTATATATTGGTAAGGAGTAAAGAATTAAAGTAGGTGGTACATTTACTATACAGATGTGAAAAGAGCAGAATTCAATCTCCTGGAAACAGCAGAGAAGGGATCAGGAGGTTTTCATTAGTAAGCATCTTTCTACTGGTCTCAGTCAGTCACAAGGAATCCTCTGTATTGATCAGATAAACGGCGTAATTTGCAGTCAAAACTATGGCATTACACTCGGTAGGAAATGTGTAATTCAAAATTAAATTCAATGATAGGTTTTTCACAAAATGATGAACTGCTCCCCATTGATATCTCAAATATTCGAGTTTAGTCAAGAGTTTACATTATCTGTCTCTCTACCAACTCTTTCATTTTTTTGATTTCCAAATGTTTTTGGTCTCCATGATCATACGTCATATTAACACTTCTCTTCCATCTTTAATCTTTTTCAACCACATGGAAACTGTTTTATACAACGGGTATTCGTCTTCAACTCTTCATGTTGTGTACTTCTTCGAATGTTCCTTTAGCTGATTTTTAAAGTTGAGCACAAACTTTTTTGTAGCTTCTTTTTTTCTTCCGTTGTACATACTTTTTTTTACCATTATAAAATATGTTTTATTTCTGCAAGGACGGTGTGGCATATAAAGAATTGAACCATGACAAGAGTGTTTGAAGTGATCCACTTTCTACTTTTTATGGAGGACTGGGGATGACTAATCTTTTTGAAAAACCTTCTTATGAACATTTGATCAATTTACAATATTCATTCATGTGTCAATTGATATATCCAAGTAAGCTGGTCTACCGTTTTTGCCGTTCGCCTGAACGTGACCGGTCGACAGGAGATGCTTACTCCTCCATGGCATCTAATCCCATCTCTTATAAAATAGGGGGTGGGAATGTGCTATGCTCTGAAATGTATCGTTTCAATGGACTTTTAGCTTGGTTTATACTTTTTGTAATCTTTATATCTCCGTTTTCATTTATATTCTTCACTAAACTTATAAGATTTATCATTGTTCCTGATCTTCATCATTTACATTACACAAGAAAAAAGTACTTTTTTTTAGAAGGAACAACCGAAGCGGAGTACAAGATTTTTCAAGGAAACAACGCCAGTTTGAGTTGTAAGTCTTTGGATCGGTCAGTACACAAGTCCATGTATTGGGTAGGTCCCCGTGGCAAGCGATACAAGGCTGGAAAGAAAATAGGAAGGTAGGTCGGTTTATAACTATACATTCATTAAACTATACATTCATAATAGAGACACTTTCAAAAGTGTGACGCAGTGGTAAGAGCGTCTGCTCTAGTGTTGCGAAGTAAGGAGTCGATCCTTACGTCGCGGGTTCGAATCCCACTGTGGGACATAAAGTATAAACCGAGGTCACGTGGCGCAGTAGATGATGGCATGAACAAGATCAAAATATAAGCTCAAATCACCTTGAGTTTTCCAGATCGATCTTGTTCAGTAAACTTGCTTTCATTATTTGATGGTATCTCATGTCATTTTTCTACCATGACTCAAACTTTTGCGTCTAAAATATGAAAAATTTGGTTAAGATAAAAAAATACACATATTGTTGAAACTTTAAAACTGTTTCTTTGGGTTGATCCCCTTACCTGTAAGGTAATCCGTTTGCCTCGTGGCATTTTAGAATGAATTGAAATTTTAAATTTCAAACTTACAATTTAATGTTTTTGTATAAATTGTCCTCTATCTTCAGAATATCTGTTACCAAGGATGGAAAGCTTCACATAAAACGAGCGTTAGTTGGTGATGAGGGGACTTATTACTGCATTATTCCAGTATTGAATAGGAATATCGTAGGAAATGCACAAATCAGTAATTATTCCCTTTATTTTATTTTCCTTTATTTCCTTTTAAGTTGAATTTCAGTTGTAGAGTACTGTGATACATAATTAGATTTGTAATATATAAATAAATTACAGATCGCATTGCACATAAATACTTTAAATGTTGACCCTGTGATAGGAAATTTTCATTGTGACAAACTGTATAAAAATAAAATTTTCGCCCTTTTTATTTTCGTGCATTTCGACATAGTAACGGTGGGGCACATTTAAACTGGTCCATATTCACAGAACACGGCAAAATTTTTAAAACAGAACTGTAACTTGGTAAATTTAAATGGTACAAAGTTGTTTGCAACAATAACCCTTTGTACCGTATGTAATATAAACATCTCTACCTTGCAGCGATTCTGACTTGCCAGGATGATCCTTGTATGAACAGAGGAACATGTATTGAAAGAAAATATGAAATAATCAGCAAACCAAGCTCGTTTGTCTGTCTTTGTACTTCTGGTTATTATGGCACATTCTGTCAAAAAGGTAATGATGGTGATAAAAAAAATAACTTAATTTAACTCAATATAATCTAACAAAACATTAACCATTATTTTTATGGAACGGTGATATTTTGATTACTGATAGTCAATAACTTTAATTTTTGTTATTTGATACCTACGATGTTTTTTTAGCGTCAAAGAAGCTACGATCCTTTATGATTATAGTTCCAGTATGTGCAGGGCTAGTTTTAATGCTCTGTATTATCACAATGGCTGCGATACGTTTGAGGTAAGAGTTAGCAATTTACCATCGGGTTTATACCCGCGTTTATATAGAAATCACGTTAGATTACTTTTATTCAGATGCCTTATGTGGTCGGTGAGTTAATATTAAGGTAATTGTAATTAGAAAAAAGTCTTTCTAAATGTCTGTACGTTGTATAAACCACAACTATAACATGTAACTGTATAAACTAAGATCCATATCGTTTGTCGAGTTCCCAAAAATCTAGTTCAAAAACATTTAAAACATCCTTGAAAAGAACACAATTCAGAAAACACTGTGTTTGCTATTCAACTATTTAGAATTATCAAAAAAGAATCATTATTTTGTCATATTGAACAATAAAAATTATATGGTCCAAAAATATTACATGTACGTTAAAGCTAATGATCAGAAATCGGTGTCATAGTAAATTATTTCTGTCTATTATGATGTAAATTGGTAGGTATTTTTGTAGTCATAAATTTAATAATAATAAAACTTTACGAAATGGTTATATGCATTATCATTTCGATTTGCATGTGTATGATATATAATGTTAATCTTCTTACTAAGCATGCACATCTGGACAAAGAAAAAATCTATTTATTTACGTGGCAAATGACAGAAGTGACTAGCACATGATATACCCATTCTGAAGTTTGTGGTTTAATTATCCCACCAAATTGCTATATGTACGATTGTTTACACTCATAAATTAGAATGCATTAAGATGCACTTTTAAAGTAAGATGTAATGATGTTTAGTGAGTAGTTTTATTTATCAACATTTTAACTCTATCACTTTCAAGTAATACAAATTATAAACTTGAGAAATATAAAAGCCTTATTTTAAAGGAAAACAAAGAAAGACTGCTTGAAAGAAAATGCCCCCAAGTGGAATAAAAAAGGTATTTCTAAATTCATTCTTTTAAAATAGATATTGGAATACTTTCTTTTCACAAAATATGCAGGGTTGGCATAAAACTTGGAATATATTCATATTTCCCAGGGCAGCAGGAAATACTGATAATTCCTGGGAACTACTGGTATTTACTGAGAAATATGTGAAAATAAGGAATAAGTACATATAAAGCTACATACAGTATTTCATAGTTATAATTATGTAGTACATCTTATTGGGACCATCTCTGATTTATAAATTCTGGTTTACTATTAATCTATTTTAAATGCATGTTATCACGTTACAGTTAATAAGTATGCCAGTCTTGAGTATCATTTGTGTCATGCTCTAGTCAGATGACATGTAGTGAATTAAAGTCCAAAAATGAACCCAAAGAACCCCTTAGACTTTGAAAATACTCGTATTTTTCTACTAGTAATTCCTACCTGTATTTCCTGGCCAACCCTGAACACATAAAATAAGTTTTCCTAAAAATTAATCTCATACTGTGCATAGATAGAATAAAGCCATCATACAGGAGGGAAAATTCAAAGCGAAGTAAAAAGCTCAGTAAAGAAGTCATCAATGAAGACAAGAGTAAAATTAACAAAAGTGTTGTTAGCGGAGATGATTCCTTACAAGAAATAGAGGAAAAAGACATTGAACACATTTTGTCCCCACAGAAATCAAGAAAAGCCAATGTATCTTACAAAAGGCAATCAGTGCGAGACCCAGTACAGAAAAAAATATTTGTAAAGACCAACCCTGGAAAGGATAAAGTATATCCATCCACTCCAGAGGAACTCCAGAACTGGTACACTAGCCCACAGGCTAATGCTGAGTTCTACAATAGTCCCATGGACATTAACGTTTATGAAAATGTTTCTTCAACTGAAGCTGCAAGAAAAGAACCAGTGTATGAAAATTTGCCTTATAAACTTCCCAACACTGCAAACCAGAAAGACTTGAAAATGAAACCTGTTCTGTCAATGAAAATGGATGACAAGGAATATGAGGATATGTATCTGCCTTTTGCTGAAGGGAATCAGATGCAGTATCCAAATATGAGGGACTTCACTTTGATTCATAAATCTTTGACTCCCTCAAGAAAAACTCGCTCATATCCAAATGATGATATACAATTTTCTGATGATAGGAATCGAAGTAATATGCTTGATGAGCCCTTTTTTCAGGAAAAAAATGTGAGCAATATAAACACAGAAACAGGAAAATATTGCCACCCATCAGACATCTGTGGCAGAAAATCTCTAAGGCTTAATCTTAGAAATGTGATTCAAAGTATTAGCCAGGACGATATTTTGGAACCAAGTCATTCTGAGAACTTAAACAGTGGTCTTAAATATCACCGTTATCAACCAAAAGGCAAGAGTAGTAGTGCAACAGAAGAAAGGGAACCTGATTATGTGTTTAATTTTTATAATTCTGGAGGCGAATCCACTGGAACAAAGAATGAAGAGATTAGCCCTATAGTAGAGGACAGGACAAAAAGAATGGTTTACATTCAGGATATGTCAAAGTCAAAAGCTGCCAGAGATCATTATACCCGAGAAATAAGAGAAAAGACATCAACACCATTATTGAAGCAAGGCAAAGATGACGCAGTTGTAATACAGAGACAAGATTTCCAGCAGTTTCAAAAGAATGTGTATGCTGTCCCTTCATCCAAACGTTTGCAGTCATCATCATTGTCTTTGTCAGATACACAGATGAGAAAAGCAATTGGAAGAGTTGAACTGAAAGAAAAGGTTGTTCTCAATCAAAAAGGTAGTAAGAGTTTTACAGAAGAAAACAGCGACGATGAGCATGATATAGTTTACCATCGAAAATACCTAAAGAAAAAGAATAGACAGGAAAGTATGATTGACGATGAAGCAGATAAAATCGCCTCCCTAAGATCAGCAGAGAGGTTCAAACAGTACCACCGTGCTATAGAGGACAATTTACATGGTATGGAAAAACCAGAGCTCTTAGACAAACTTTAACCTTTATTTATAATTAATTTTAAAGACTCACTAGAGTATGACATATTAAGTGAAGTTTCAAAAGTATTACTTGTTATTTGTCAGATTTAAGATTTTTTAGATTCTTTTCTTTTCTTTTAGGTAGTGATCGTGTTGAAAAAGATCAACAGCCACACACAGCTTCAAAGCAGGAACTTGCAGTTGGAGACACCAGAGGAAGCATCTCAACACCATCACAGAACCAGAGCACAGGAGATGAAGATAGAAAATTGGATCAGAGTGATGACATTAGACAGTTTCAGCACAGTATTACATCAGTCAATTCATCTAAAGATCTGCAGTCACCAGCAATGAGAAACAGGTCGTCTTCACTAGATATGAGAAATGCGCTTCAGAGTGAAGACTTTGATGATGAAGTTATTTTCAACAATCACAAAAGTAAGTGCTTCACTCAGGAGGAAGATGATGACGAACAGGAGATAATTTACCACAGGAAGTGCTTGGTAAAATCGAGTAAACCTGAAAATAAGATTGATTATGAGGCTACCAAGATTGAATTGAAAAAAGCTTTAAACCAACCAAGGAAACCCAACGGAAATGAAGAGGAAAAGCGGTCTGGCCAAATCCAATCACAATCAACAATAAAAAATGTTTCTAATGAGAATAGCACCGACTCGGTGAATTCTGATGAGACTAATTCTAGCACAATGTCCGTGAATTTTCAGAAATCTCTGGAAAATGACAGTAACAACACGGAGGAGTATCATACACCAGAAGCCAAAACTAAACTTCAAACTGAGAACAGTACAGAAAAACATGACCAAAGAGATTCCACACCTACAAATAGTGAAGTATATCAAGAAGAACAGTCATCCTCACAGTTTAATGAAACTTCAGAGTTGATTGAACAGTTGTCACCTAGATCTCGTATGTGTCTACACCATTATCAAATGGTGTATGGCACGATGGGATACAAAAGTCCAAAATCTAATACAGATGAAGAATCCCCCTAAAAGGTAGATATTAGACTACAAAGAATATTGTTTTAAATTATTTCTTATTGACATAGTTATAGAAATATGAGTATTACAAATATCTACTTTACGCTAGGACAGCATAGTTATACAAGAGTTCAAATAGTAACAATAAAAATAATATGATTGAAATCGAGGTGTATGATTTAAAAAAAGATGTTGAAGCAACTGATGAAATTTTTTGTTTTAATTTTTTTTCAAAACGATGTTTCTTATGCGAAATGAAATTTGAGCCAGGAAATTATCAAAAAAAAAAGAAAAAAAAACTTGGAGTAAGATAAATCTTTAGTGGTTCAGTAATTAATTCCATGAGGCTGATTGATTGTACTCTTACAATATGATTTTCTCTATACATGTATCAATATATTAATGCTGAAATTCATTTTGTGCATCTATGAACATTCATTTCTAAATGGGATGCCAGTGATGACTGAAATAGTTGTATTACTAGTACATGTATAGTATAAATACTGCCATGTAAAATAGCTATTACCTTAAAAGCTTAGTGCATTCTTTGATAGTAATTGAATTAATCTAATTGCATTTTACTGTTTATATTTTTGAATAAAAAGATATGCGGTTGTAATTTAAGATATTGGTATTAAACATACAAAGTTATAAATTCAGTCTCCTAATTTGATGTATGCAGATCGATGTCCTAATGAGAGTATGATACTCGTATTGATACTTTGTTAGCTCAAAGTGAAGCTGATATTGGTACTTTATAGGTGCACATATCATAAGATGGCGAAAAGCTCGACAGCTTCGTAAATGTACATGGCTAGATATAATTATACATCCCTTAATTCTTTCGGTGAATCAAAATGATTTGAAGAAATATTGAGACTTTTAAATTGCAAATTAATACGTAAAATAAGAAGCAAATAATTGAAAAATGATGAAATGAGTGTCTTCTGAATTAAATATAACAACCATTAATTTTATGAGCTGTAATTGTAAATACAATAAAAAACGCCAGTCACTTCAAGCTATGAGAAGAGAAAAGTGTTATCCAATTTATTTAGGAAAATAAATCTTTAAAACACACAGTAAGGTTCAACATACAACGTAAAATAACCCTTATAACAAAATAAATGTAAAGGAAGTATTTTGAAAGTTTTGTTAATTAGAAAGAATCAGCATGCGGATGTATTTAAGATAAAAAACTATTAAACGTTCATGATTGTCTAAATTTTAAAAAAATCAAAAACCTTAAGATTTCTATAAAAAAATTTTTTTAACATAGGCAGCAGTTTTATGACTCTTGGTTTATTAAGCAAGGAAGCAAAAACTTCTGGTCGGCAAAATACTTCCTGTATAGACATGGACAATGGAATCTCTAAAACGGCTGCTGATATATTCATTGAATTTCTGTTCATACATCTCCAGGGCCGTAACTATGGGTAAAAGATAGAGGAGGCGGGGGTTTGGGGGCCGCCGATTGAGGCCCCAAAGATCGGGGGTGCGGGAGGCGAAACCCCCCCCCCCCCCCCCCCGCAAAAAAATTGCTTCAAACGGCTCAATTTTGGACCATTTCCTTGATTTTGAGAATGCTTACCACTTTATTATATTACCTATTTATGTACTATTTTGGATAGATATGATCAAATAAATTTCAATCGTAATTCCCATTTTCAATATTGTCTGAAGGCTTAACGGTGATCGTCTAGCTTTGTCACAGCAGGTGTGTCACGATAAAGATCCCTTCCTGCTCAAAGGCCCTGAGCGCCGAGCATAAGTCTAAATTTTGCAGGCCTTTACCGGCAATGGAGACGTCTCCATTATGGCATATAAGTGAAAAATTCTTGAGCGGGACGTAAAACAATCAATAACCAACCAACTAACGTTAACTCACAATACTCATCTGATGCTTCAATTGAATTTGAACTTCTGAATGTAAATATAAACAATGATAAATACGAAACTGACTTTTCCCAAGAAAAAGATAAAATTATTTAAGTCAATAGGGGTATCTGGGAAGATCGTACCCGTCGATTCATTCTGAATAGTTTTCACTGTACTAAATGCAGTTCTAAATGATCGATCGCCGTAGTTCGAATTTCGCTATGGGACATGGGGACTGGTCCTTCGGATGAGACCGCATTAAGTTAACCGAAGCCCCGTGTCACAGTTGTGGCACGATAAAGATCCCTCTCTGCTCAAAGGCCCTGAACGCCGAGCATAGGTAATGGTGACACTCACTGGATAGCTGAAAAATTGCTCAGGTGGCTATAATCAAACAAATAAATGATCAATCTTGATCCAGCTGCTTGTGTTGTGTTTCTTATTTCCAAAAAAAAAATGAAAATCTAGAGGAGGCAATTGCCTCCGTTGCCTCAATGGTAGTTACGGCCCTGATCTCATTGTATAACGCAAAAATGTTCATAAATATTATCTTCTATTATTTGAATTGTCTTTTTAAGGAAGTTCGCTCCTGAGCTTTTGAGCAGATTTTGGTCTGGACCTTTATTTCTAAATTTCTGCATCATTTTAAGCTCTAACATTAAATTTGGATTCTATAATGCAACCTGAACTAAGTTCAAGGGTAAAAAAAACCGAGATTAAATTCCACGCAAGTAGCATTAAACCAGGAACTATATTTTGTGACGGAAGTTTTGTTTAGAAGAAATTGATCAATTTTTCCATTTTGAACTATATACAGTACTGTTAATTTTCGATTCCTATTTTCTGTGCTGGTTGCACACAAAGCTTTTTGCAGTAAAATGTGCTGTGCTGGTTCTGAAATACCTATTAAATCTTTTTTTATGAGTTATTTCAACGAATTATGACAAATATAGTGCGTCGTGCGTTAACATTTGAACATTTTCAGCTTCTACTCTGAAACCACTCAACCAATTTCAACCAAATTTGGCATATAGCATTTATGGGTGAAGGGGAACAGAAATTGTGAATTTCATGGTCCCTGCCCCCCTAGGGCCTGGGGGGGGGGGTGGGGCAAAAACCACTAAAATTAGTGCAATCTTTAAAAATCTTCTTCTTTACTCCTGGACATCAAGCAGTCAAACTGTTGGTATAATTGTAATTAGCATTAAGTCTTCTACCAAAATTGTGAAATTCATGGCCCCAGGGTCAGGGGTTCTAGTGCTAGTGCTAAATAGGTTATATGGTGAAAATGCATTATTTCTTTGAAATTCTTCTTTTCTGCTCCTGGGCATTAAATAAACTAACCAAGTGCATAGTTGAGTTGAAAATGACTGCCTCTTCCAAAATTTTGAATTTAATGACCCCAGGGTCAGGGGTTCTAGTGCTACGGCGGGGCCATATAGATTATTGTAGTGAAATTGCAATAATTCTTTGGTGTTCTTCTTTTCTGTTTGCGGGCATTAAATAAACTAAACATAGTTATGTTGAATAACCTAAAAGAATCTAATGGCCCCAGGGTGGTTATGGTTATATAGATTATATATATAGTGAAAATGCATTATTTCTTTGATATTCTTCTTTTCTGTTTGCGGGCATTAAATAAACTAACCAAGTGCATGATTATGGTGAATAAGGTTGCCTCTTCGAAAATTGTGAATTTTATGGCCCCAGGGTCAGGGGTTCTGGTGTTAGGGAGGGGCTCTATTGATAATATAGTGAAAATGCATTATTTTTTTTGAAAATCTTCTTCTCTGCTCCTGGGATTTAAATAAACTAACTAAGTACATAGTTATGATGAGTAAGAGTGACTCTTCCACAGTTGTGAATTTTATGGCCCCAGGGTCAGGGGTTCTGGTGTTAGGGCGGGGCTCTATTGTTTATATAGTGAAAATGCATAAACTCTTTAAAAATCTTCTTTTCTGCACCTGGGTATTAAACCAATGAACTACCTGTATGTACATAGTTATGAGGAGGAAGGATGCCTCATTGAGATTTGCGAATTTCAGGGCCCCTGGGTCAGGGATTCTTGTGTTAGGGTGTGGCTCTAATGTTTATATAGTGAAAATGCATAAATTCTTTGAAAATTTTTTCCTTTGATCCTGGGTATTATGGCAATGATCTTAGTATATATTTATGACAAAGAACGCTGCTTCTGCCAAAAATGCTTAATTTTCTGGCCCCTGGGACAGAGGTACTTGGCTGGGGGGGGGGGGGTCTGAAAATGATTTAATGCTTTGAAATCTGCACTTTGGTATTAATCAACAACATGATGAAATAAGATTTATAAAATTTCCAAAATTTTGAAAGATGTGGCCCCAGGGTCAGTGGTTCCTGTGGAAGGGGTGCACAACTGATAATGATAAAGTGGAAATGCATTTTCTCTTTGTTACTGTGATCTACGTACCTCTGGGTATTACTAACCAAAGTAAGTGTGCTGAGTGCATAATTATGATAAGCAATATTGGTGCCTCTTTCAAAATTGTGAATTTCATGGCTTCTAGATTAAAACATGAATCAAATTCAATTGTTGGAAAGTTGTTGCATGATACTCAGGTGACCTATAAGGCCCATGGGCCTCCTGTTTAGTAATATCTAAGAATTAACATCATATACCCCCACTATAGATGTTCTTTTCTGAATATTTAAGGTAAATTTGACCTATCTGCTGAAATTCAATAAAAGTTTAAGAGTTTAAAATAATTTTCTTGCTTATTTAATTTTCAATACCCGAGAAATCACATTTTGAGAGTGCAGTTAGGTCAAATAATTGATTATGCGAAGAAATTTGAAACTTTTTGTTAGTCACAATTTTATAGTGTCTTTTTTAAAAATAGACTTATAGTATATTTTGTTCTTTGCTTTATTTAAATAAAAATATTGCAGGCAAAACGACGAAGGTGTAATTTTTGATAAAGACACAAATTTTAGTGCAAAAAGGTCATTTAATGTACTGTAGCGCCAAAATAAGCATATTGACCCCCCCTTTTTCGATTTGATTTTTTTTATTAAGCTATGTGTGTAGAAACTAAAAATATACTTGACAAAAAAAGTTTAAGACATTAAATATCAGGAACCAACCTCGTTCAATTGTCTGAAATAATATATAAATCGTTATGTCTACAATTATATCCCTGTAAAATATATTTAAGTACTACCCTGCAGAATGTTGCCCAAATGTAAGATTATATATATATTTTTAAATGTAATATTCACTATCATTGGGGAAGGCAATTTTTGGAGAACATGTCGTCTGACCTTCAGTCCATAAATTTTGCCCACCTTGACATCAACTACGTTGACATCAACTAGGAACAACATATGTTCTAGTTTAAGGTTTTTGTGAGGAATCAGGGAATTAGATCTCAGCAGACACCATGAACGTCAACAAAGTTGAAAAGGTTTAAAATTTTATTTGTTCCAATTTCAATTTTAAAAAAAAGCATATACTTCCTTTTATACGTTTTAGGGCTTATGTCAGCTATGATTCATAGAATTTACAGTTACTGGTGCAATAAATAAAAAAAAAGTCATTTTCTTAATTTCTAAAAATGTATAAGTAAAAAACCATTGCTTTCATTCGTTGGAGGTTAAAATTGCACAAAGATGTTGTTTATGTATTTGTCTCTGACTTGTTTCCAATATAAAGTCTTTGAAATATACGTCTGAAAGATGTTATTACACTAAAACAAAGTTGAACAAAAATGTGA